TGAGCCAATGCAGCCATATTACAGTCTACAATGTAAACAAAACAGCAATCTTATGAAATTTTCAATGATAATTATTGTTCTAAATTTAATAATGTTGATTTCATATTAAGTACAAGAAAAGGACTATCATTAACAAATTTTTGCTTCCATTCTTTAAATATAAACAAAAAATTATATTTAGAAAATAGTCGACGATTTTCTGTTAATTCTGAAAGTTTTTCGAATAAAATTCCTAGTTTTTCCATTGTTTTTAAATCAAATGTTGGTGTAAGTGGAAGATGTATATTGCTTGAATTTGCTGATGAACCAAGACCATCATTACATTGTTGGGTTAATTGATAAAATAAATGAAACCATGTATCATTACTTAATTGTTTTAGAAAAGGACGAAGTGATTTTGAATCAGTACAAAGAAGTAGAAGTAAATCGATTGTATCGAATATTACTAAACAAAAATACAATCAAAATATTTTATGCAATATACTTTTTTTAAGCATCAATAAAAGCAAGTATATTACTGCACTACATGGGTTAGCTAGAATTTCATCAATGGCGAAAGTAGGATGAACTTTCTCAAACTCTCTCATAATAATACTAATATAGGATAGTTGTGAGAGCTGAATTGAATATTATTAGAATATACATATCATATCTTATACTCATTTATTGAGTCAATAGAAATTCTTTTATTGCATATTTAGTTCATACTTTAATTGGTGAAATTTCCGAATCCCATTCCATAGTGTCCAGAAGGACGATATAGTGTTGATGAATCTGCTTTGATTCTATTAGAAGTGATGTGATCTTTTAAGATAACTATTACTCGTATGCAATAATTATTAACTTAGAAAGTGCAGTACGAAAAAAGGACTACTAAGAGATGCTCGTCCAGGCCACTTGTAACTGATCAATGTTTCTTCGTAAATGCTGCTATTTTATTGACATTTCTATTAAGTGTAAATTCTAAGCACTATGTCATCCTGATGGGCACTATGTTTTAACGAAAATACACGTCGGTAAGCACTATGGAGTGTACCATATATTCACAGATACAAGGGTTTTTATAAGAAGTATTAAAAGGACTTTGGGCCCAGTTCGAAAATTTCTTAGGTCCAAATTTATGATCTTTCATATCATCGCATAATCAGTTTTCAATACTTTTGATTCTGTAAATGGCAAGAATATTGCTTGTATTTTTTTAATTTTGCAAGTAAATATTATAAATTAAGTTTTATTTACTAGCCACTTTTATCTTAAGAATTTTTCTCGCACAAGTAATTCAGTTCAAAATCAACAAAAATCAAATAAAAGAATGGTTAAATGTAGATTGGGACTAGATATATGCAAGAAACGTTGTGCTCTCGGTTATAGAATCGAATAGATGAAGAAAAACTTAGGTGACAAATCTTCAAGAGAAATATTTTCTTTATAAAAGTAAGATTGTTTCTGAAAAACTATACAATTATTGATGTCCAAGATAGAGCGTAGTTACAATGTAATCAAGACTGATCTCGATGGCGAAGTTTGTGATCGTTCTCTCAGGATACAAAAAAGACGCCAGAGTTACAGTAGCTTTATTTTGAAGAAAAAAATTGAAGTCCCATATTCACCTTTTGATTCAGACATATTTAGAGATTATTTTATATGAATAGATGTTTAACTATAAAAATCAAAATGTCAAAACTTAGAAAGCTTTGATGGACAACTTTTTGGAAGTTTTGATGAATAAAATATGGTACGACACATATACATACAACATAGCAGTGAATATGAGATCTGTGACCAAAAAAAACTTTGGTTTTTATTTTCAATTGAAGCTCAGAAAGTACAAAATTAATCGTACATCTAATATGTGATCTCCTTTTCCTGATCTGTCGAAATATTTAATGGATGGAGTAGAGTTTGTTAGCAAATTCTAGTTTATGGCTCATAGTTTATCCGTGCCAAGTTTTATTTCTTTTCGTTATGATATTATTGTTTTAGCTAAGAAATTATGTAAAGTAATATCCTCTGAATGGACTAAAGTTCGATCATGCATATAATGCAAAAATAGACAGATTTTACAATAAAGAATTGTGTTCTCTACGGTTTCGAAAAAGACAAGCATCATACGTAATGTTTTAACAAAGCTGTATTCATTGCAATAACCAAAGTACTATTGAATTTTTAACCCGCTCTTGTCTCACATCCGTAGAGATGTTCTTAGGTGGCCAGGATCGGGAAAGGCAGGATTCATAATCTAGGATGTTGATAGGAAGTTTTTTACTAAAGTTGGCCATACTTTGAGAAAGAGAGGTACACGCACAAAGTCTACACATGTGCGCTCATGCGCGTGGAGGTAAATTTTCGGAAACTTATTGATTATAGAAGTTTTTTTCAATGCATGAGAAAATAGGGAAAATATTTTTTTGTGAAAATAAGGACACAAAATTCATTCCTAGACTGTATGATTTATTTGCCCATAGAGACTAGGGCAACTTTTTCTTGTTTATTCTACTATTCAATACATGTCTCTTTCAACATGCTAGTCTCCGACTTTGGTTATGCTAAAATGTATCCAAAAGAACATGTTTCAAGACTACCACAATTACTTGATGAGTGATAAAATTGAATCGTTTTTATATAAAACTTTTTGAGTATAGTAGTTTTTTTCGTTTAAAAATATACACGTATTTGTTCAAAATTACGCGATTTCTTTCATTTGGACAGCAAAAAAAGTTTTTGAAGGATTTTTCTTCGTCGGAACAAACTTTTCACTTTAACGGCATATTTTGCACCTCTGAGAAGAGGCTTTGCATGTGACTAGAGGTGTTACTTTGTGTCCCGTTCCTGAGAATGCATAATTGTCTTAAATAAATAGATACGCAAAATATATAAACACCCTAATGCATTCAATAGCTGCTGAGAAAATACAGTGTGAGATACATTCTCGTTCCTTGAGAACGGGATACTGACATCTCCTAAATGTGACGGCATAACTGTCAATGATGTTCTGGTTTGATGCTTGTTATATATGTGCATCGGTTTCTCTCTGTAATTTCCCTCCTTTTTTCTCTCACATTTCCAGCATTCTCTTTGCTTCCCACCTTATCTTTCTGCTAATTGAATATATTGTTAAGTCTTATTTCACATTCGAATCTCATTTCTCTCTTTCTTGTCATTTGCACTGATAATCATCGTGATACTTGAAATCTTCAATAGTTGCATGTTAGACAGCATTCACGTCATGACAGGAATAAGAGCCTTGAACTTATTTTAAGTAATTAATAAGCAGAAACAAACAACAAAATTCAAGAACTTCGCTGAATAAAAAAAAGAAAACTTTTCAAGATTGAGGGTCACCCATGGATATCTGTATAGAAAATAATTATTGAGTCTTACATCGTTTATGATGTGATGGAGGTTTTAACCATCGATAAAGTGCAATAATACCATAATTTGTAACAAAAAGCTCAATAAATGCTTTTGAATTAAGATCTAATCGAAGTTGATTATAACATGCAATAAGATCAATTATTTTATTACATGTTAATAATACAATTAAACAAGCATAAAGTCGAATCAATGGTTCATTATCATCAAAGAGATGTGGACGTTCCTTCTAAGAAAAACAAAGTTTTTGAAAAAAGAAACAATTATTTTGATATCTTTAAAAAACAAACTTGATTTTTGTCACATTTAAGAATTTGTTCACATAATCTTCGATAAGAACATGAATGTAGATGACGTGTTTGGCCACTTGTTGTTGGACATTCAATAGTTATTAATGAAAAATAAACTAATTTAAGATAGGAAAGTATTAAATTTGAATAATTTTTATTTAAACAAAACGATGATTGATCAGCTAGAATACTTAATAATTTTGAATATCGTTCAATTGTATCTGACGATAATAAAGAAGAAGATGGCCATTCAGTTAATGATCTTTGACTAATATCAGATAACCAATTAAATAAGAAAATTAAAGAATCTGTTGAAGCAATACTAGGTGTTTTTGATGTTGTAGTAGCTAGACAAAAAACAAACACATTCATAAATATAAATCTTAAATTGAATTTCTTTTCAAAGAAAGTCTTACGAGAATTTGTTGATGAATGATGTTCAGAACAATGATCATTAATGGATGTATTACCACAACTATTATTATTATTATTATTATTTTCAATTGATTTTGTAGAATCTTCATTTGGATTATTTAAAGAAGGTTTTTTATTCATTTCAATAGTTTTTTCTAATTCTTTAATTTTTTGTTCTGAAATTTGATTTAAACGTATTAAATTTTCTGTACGTTTATCTGCTTGTTTTGTTTTTTCAACTAATTTTTCATTTGTTTCACGTAAATCATTTAAATTACGTTTTAATTCATTATTTTGTTCACGCATTAATTGTAATGTTTCATTTGTTCGTTTAAAATCTTTTGTCATTTGATTTAATTTATCTTTATAAATATTTATTTCACTATCAAATTTTTCTTTATGTGCTTGCCAACCATGTTCTATAGTTTCACGCATACGTTCTTCCCATTGATTTAATAAAATAGATTTCTTTTTTAAACGTTCATTTTCTTCTGATAAACGTTGACGAATTAATAAAAGTTCATTATAAACTGCTTGAACATTTGGTGATATATAACGTGGTGATGCTAATGTTGTATCAATATCAGCATTCTCTGCTGATGAACTATAAAGAGTTTTGATTTCATCATCTGATGATTGTTCATCACCTGATTGTACAGAAGAAAGTACAGTTTGATTTAAATCTGTATAATTCGTCATATTCGATTAAAATAAATTGGTTGATGAAAAATTATGGCGTCGATATGGTAACGAGATGGATTCTATTTCAATGATTATAGATGGTTTATTAAAACTCCAATCATAAAACAGACAACTTATTTATTATTTTCATTTGAAAAACTTTTTTTTTTTATGTACGAAAAAAAAAGGATATTTTATCTTTGTTACAAAACTTTTATTGTCGATTTGGCAAGTATAATACGAATGTGGTAAAATATGGACTATCTTATTGTTTATTTGCAACTATTTCTCTCGAATGTATTCATAAGCTATATTTGAACAAAAAAAAAGGAAGAGTATAGATTTAATTTTTATAGTTTTTTTGTAGAATTTTGTATATGCTCTCATAGAAAATTTTATTCTAATAGACAAATAATGATTATTATTATTCATTTCATCATCTTAAGATCAATAATATGATTCATTCGTAAAAGGTCCACTTTATTTGTTGACCTGATGTTGTATTTCTCTAGTTCATCGATAATAAAATTTTCATTAAATATAAGTTTTCTCATAGCAAAATACATTTTCTTCGTGATTATGTAATTAATTTTAGCGTTTATTTTACCATCCAATAGAAGAACAAAATAAGAACTCATTCTTTTGGACTATACATGCAATGGCGATGTATTATATAATGTTGAATAATATGTGTGAAAATTTGCACAAAATTAATTCGTTTCTTGTCTGGGTCATGTAATTTGTGTAATCATTTGTTTTTATTCTGCTCGATTTTTAGATCAACGTATAATGCTTATCCGATCTGTTTCTCAACAACATTTTTCTTTATCTCACATGTATATCAATAGTAGCAGTATTTGATACGTACAATTCTATTGTGCGATTAAAACCAGATAAAACCCAAAATGAAAATGAACATTTGAAATCAAAAAAAAAAATCTGATAAAAAACCCAATACGAGTATTGACAAAGGAACATTAAAATCAATTTATTTGGCTAAATATGTTCCTAATATTTTAGCAATATTAATCTATTATTTTTTTAAAAATTCTCATTATGCATCGTTATTACCATCGAGTTTATCAGCTATATTGGGTATTTCAACATTCATAGCCGGTTTTCTTATTCGACAAATTGCTATAATACAATTAGGAAAATTTTATACATATAAAGTCAGTATTATTGACCATCATGAATTGATTGATACAGGTCTTCATGCATCTATGCGACATCCAGCATATACGGGTACATTTCTTGAATTAACTGGCGCTGCTTTTCTTTATAATCATTTTATATTATCATGGTTTATTTCATTGTGTTATCTTATTGTTATACATAAACGTATCAAACAAGAAGAAAAAACATTAATTGAAGAATTTGGGCCAAAATATCAAGAATATATGAAACGAGCCGGCATGTTTTTGCCAAAATTGAAATAAGATATTGTTTTTTTTTTATTTAATTCAGCATTTATTTTTTTATATTTATTTTATACAAGCACAATAATTCAGCTCAGATAAATATTATTTTGTTTTAGATAAAAATAATAATTTAATGCTTGAATTTACGCTTAAGTTTTTGAGTGGTGATAGTCGCAAGTATGAAGTCGATGAATCGGTATGAAATGAAGTTTAATTTTTCTTTTTGTTTTTGAAAAATTTCATTATATATATATATTTTTTTGATTTCTACTAGACAACTGTACGCCAATTTAAAGAACGTTTACATGATGAGTTAAATATTCCAATCGAGCGTCAACGTTTAATTTTTCAAGGCAAAGTTTTACAAGATGATACAAAACTTACTGATAGCAGTATGACGAAATTTTTTTTGTATTGTTTAGTCTTATGTGAAATTTAATTTTCTTAGATATTCATAATAAAACCGTACATTTTGTTGAACGTGCCGAACCAATACCACCACCAGCTCCTAGTAATGCTACAGGTAGCGTATTAAATTCTATGGATCATCGTCCAAATGATGGTGGAATAAATCAAGCAATGATGGATGAAGTTAATGAAACAACAAGTATTTTCATAAATGCTTTCCCAGGCGCCGCAAATTTACAACCGAATGATATTCAAGTTAGTTGATATTTCTTTCGTCTTTTTTTTATCTACTATTTTTATGCTTTTGTTTTTGATATGTAGAATTTAGTACAAAATTTACTTAATGATCTTGGCGATGTTGGACGACAAGCTCAAGTAAATACAACAATGGCTGTAAGAGAAAAATGATTGAATGATTATTGTCATAACTATGAAATGATTTCTTTTTTGTGTGTATTTAGTCGGATGGACATGGTGTAGATATTAATATTGATTTTGGCAATATACATCAAGTTTTAGAACAACAAGAAATCAATGAACGTTTTCGTTCTATTGGACGAATGTTAACACGACTTAAACTTCGTATCGACCGTATTGAAGTAAGATAATCACAGATATAATTATCGCCAAAAGTTTAAGAGGATTCGTTTTTTCGAATTTTCTTTCACAACAGAAATTCTAGGCCAGATTCAGATAGTAATATAGATAGTATGAGAGGTTGGCAACATGATGTATCATGAGATCCTACTCTGTTCATATAGATTTTCTATAAGTGAAATAGTTTCTTTCTATACAAAAATATATTTAAATGTTTTCTAGTATTTTGAAGTTCCTGATCAAAGAATTTCCACTAAAATGAAATAACAAATAGACCAATCAATAGAAAATTACGCACTCTGTTAGCTTCTTTATCGCCATGTTATATTGTGTTTCGTTCATGTTTGAGGATATAATAATTCTGCTGTAGATTGAATGAATATGTACAAAAAGTTTAATTGTCCATTGCATCAATGGTTGGTTAAACTAAAAATAATAGATTATGAAAAGAAAATCAATATCATTTGAATAATAACAAGACAAATGACATAAACAAGAAACTTAGCGTGTTTTGTATCAGAATAATAAAGCTAGGTAAAATATGGAAGTGATATATTGCAGCCCCTAAGGGACTATGCTAACAATCTTTTATATTTGTTTTGCAAATAAAAATTTAAAAAAACATAATTAAAAAGTCATACATTTTAATATAATGAGATTTGAAGAATTTCAGTTTTCCTTTTGTTTCACTTATCGCCACTAAAATCAGGTTTCAAACGTAAAGATTGACTTTGTTATTGAACTTTTTTAGACACTAACAGAACATGAAATTTTCTATCGATTGATCTATATGTTCTTTGTTTTACTGCAGATCTTTTGATCAAATCATATATCGTTTCCTATACTACATCATGTAACTGACTTCTCATACTATTTATATCATTATTTGAATCAAACATATATATATATAGTTCTTAATGTGAAAGGAAATTTGAAACAATGAATTCAATATAATGATTGTTACTAAATGTAAAATGTTTCCAATAATAATAAAAAACTTTTTAATATTTTTAGCAAATTGTGCAATCAAATTTTCGTCTATCACCTACTCCACCTCCATCAACTTCTGAAAGAACAACAAGTTCACCACATGCAGTTGCGTTAGCTACAGAACCAGCAGTTACAGAACCAGCAGCTACAGAACCAGCAGTTACAGAACCAGCAGCTACAGAACCAGCAGCTATAGAACCAGTAGCTATAGAACCAGCAGCTACAGCAGCAGCAGTAGCAAGTTCGCCACTACCACCACCTTCAACAACATCATCAACAACATTTCTTGGCATGGAAGATATAACATCAACTGAAATGGATGTAGAATCACAAGGTTCTATTAATTCAACTGAAACGCTTCATACACCACCCACTACTGCAGGTACAACTCCTGTAGAAAATGCTTCATCACCAACAACAACAACTAATAATCCAGCTATAGCATCACCGTAAGAATATTTATTTATTTTTTATTTACATGTTTAATAATTTTAATTACATTTATAGACGAACAGCTCGTGATTTAGCTGAATTAATGAATACAATTGATACTGAACAACGTCGATTGCAAGCGCATTACCAAACTTATTTACGTACTATAGCACAAACTGATGCCTTTGTAAGTTATTTGCTGCAAACAAAAAAATGTTTGTTTTTTAAATTCATTATAAACATATCGTTTAGGATCAAGAATTAAATGGTCGTCAACGTTTCTATTCTTTATATAATGAAGCAACACATTTATTTGCTCATATTTATCATAATATAACTGATTTTACTCTTGATCTTAATGATCCACTTGAAACACGTTTATTACATTTGGGTGAATTACCTATTTCCCAAGCTGGTCTTGCTTCAATAGCACAAAATAGTGGACATAGTTTTGCACCTGGTCAAGAAATAGGAACAAGAGTATTACCACGTCCTTCACGTTCGATTGGTCGACGAGTAAGTAGAATGTATTCTTTTGACATATTAGAATGTTAAACATGAACACTTTTTTGCAGCCAGGAGCTGTAGCAACAGCTCGAATTATGGGTCCAATACAAATATCAACTGGAACTAATCCAGCTGTGATATCAGGAGAAGCTCGAATGCCATTTCAAAATCCAATGGGTGCTATTCCTCGCATGGTTCATTTGAAATTTATTTATTTTTATTTCACTTTCTCTTGCTTCTTTTATTGTTCAGATATTTAATGCTCCGCCACGATCATCACTTCCTATTCGTCCTCCTGCACCATTGACAGCTAATAATGGTGGAATGCAACAATCGATGCGTTTTAATTTAGGTACATTACCATACACATTCATGCAGATGGGTCCAGATGGTATAACGTTAAATCAAGTTTCAGCATCAGTTGTAGCAGATGTACAAGCAGCTAATTCATCATCACAACAACAATCGTCAACAAATCGACCAACATTAAGTATGTTATTTTATTTAAATATTTATTTTTTTTCATATTGTACTAAAAAAAAATATTTTCTATTTTAGATAATCTTCCACAAGGTGCAACACATGTCATCTCAAGTGGTCCTATTCAAATAAATGGTGGTCAATTCGATAGTAATCTTGCCGCTGAAATTGCACAACGTGTATCAAATAGTGTTCAACGTTCGTATTACAAATTTTTTCTTAATTATTTCCAAAGAAAAATGAATATATTGTCTTGTTTTTTCTTTAAAATTTTATAGAACATTTTGCTCAGATGGCTAATCAACAAGTACCAAATAATACAAATATTAATAATCAAACATCGAATAATAATAATTCGAATGTAACAGATTCAATTTTACGGTCAACATTTGTTCTTCAACCTGATTCATCATCAATAGCAGCATTACGTCATAGTGAAACATTCCGATCACGTTCAGCTGATTCACGACCAACAAATAATAATCCAGCAACATCAACAACAACATCAAGTATTGAAGATGATGATGCTGATTGGATTGATTTACCACCAATGGATCTTCCTATGCCACCACAACAACTGCCTAATCCACCTGTACTTCCAATACCTCGTCTTCGAGGACCAGCTATAATACGTAAGTTTTTTTTCGAAACAAACACATTTTCAACTTTTTATTTTAGAATCAATCGATCGAAGTTTACCATGTGCATCACCTTATTTCACTCAAACACTTCGTCCACCATTTGATAATCCAAATAATGCAGCAAATTTAACACCAGCAGAAGCAGCAGCAATACAAAATGCATCTAATCGTGCTGTTATATTTGCAGCAGCACCTCAACGTCCACGTGGTCGTCATCGTCATCCAGCTGGACCATGGGCACAATTAAATCAACAACAACAACAACAGTCACAACAACAAATGCAAAATTTTATGTTAGCATCATCTAATGCACCAACTGGTGCAACTGTTCTTACACCTGCTGGTCATGCTTATAATATGACAGCACATTCATTTGAAATTCCAATGGTTATTTCAACGACAACAACAACGGAAATACCACAACAACAAACCTCTAATGATAATTCTCAACAACAACAACAACAACAACAACAATCATCAATTAATGATGGACAACAAATTCAAATGGTAAAATAAAATTTAAAATATGTTGTTTCTTTGCTTTTATTAATTTTTCTTTTTATTTAGAATACCATTATAAGTCAGGTACTTTCACAAATATTACCTGGTGTCTTACGAACTGGGAATGGACGAGTTCGATGTATGTAAAATAATATTTTCAATTATTTATGAATTATTTTGTTTAATTTTAGTAAATATTGGTCAAAATAATCCCGGTAATAATAATACTCCAAATTTACAATCTCAAGCCAGTGGAACAAATACAACTCAACAAACAATACCAACGGCAACTAATATTCCGGGAGTAGTAGCTGGTAATTTAGATTTCTCAAATATTGCTCGATCACTTGGTAGTATGGTACAAGGAATAACTGGACGACTAATTCCTGGAGCAACATTAATTAGTTCTAATCTTTCAACACCTACTCCAACGATATCATCATCATCGTCGTCATCATCATC